TTTATTTTATTGAATAATTGTTTGAGTAGTTGAAACAAAGCTTCAAGATAGGGCGATTCATTAATTTCAAGATAACGTAGGCCCTCAATTGAAGAACCTTGTTGGGTTTTAGCTTTTTGCTTTCTAAAGAATTGGCAATTAATTAAATGGATTAAAATATGTTGTCAATTGCGTTGTCCATTCGCTGTCTTACTGCTTAATTATTGATATTATGAGTAAATATAAATTAATTATCATATCAGAAGATCTGAAGCAAAAAGGTGATCGATCACAAGAATTCTAAAACAAATTGTTGAGCTTTTGACCAAAGACAATGGAAATTTTAGAAGAAAATAAAATTAGTTGCACCTACAAATTAATCAATGCATAAAAAGGATATCATTTGTCCTGTAGTGATGTAAGTAAATCTCAACAATTTTTTTCCGTGAAGCATCAAGCCATCAACTTGTTATATTATTTGGAAAAAAAAAATCATATATACTTATTGAATTAAATGTCGCCTTACATATATTGCTCAAAAGGAAAAAAAAATACTTAATTACCTGTTTTTTAACTATGCCTTAAGGTTTAGTCTTAGGCTTAGAACATTCATGTTTTTGTATGCACATATGAATAAAGTCTCATTTACCTAATCATTAAAGCTACTATAGACGGACCTAATGATAGTCATATTTAAGCAAGTCACACCATAAAATTCAATAGAAACAATAACATAACATTTACAACATAAGTATACATTTTTGTTATAAATATATGACACATCGACTCAGCCTCGCCTAATCGTTAGTGACTCACACAAGAATTATGTTGGTTGATAATACATGCCCGATTTTTACAAATTGAAAAATTACTACTTGTCAACATATTGATAAGATCATGGCCTGACAACACATATATGCATATTTATATACTCTTTTTTTTTTCCTTTTAATTTATGTACCCACATAGTCTACAAGTGAGTAGATATATATGGAAAGATACAGTAATGATATGGAGTCAATTGTTGATTTTGTTACGGAGCCAACAGTCAATGGGATAGGTCCATGTGGGGCTGTCCCATATACCTTCAATGTGGGATAGCCCTACATAAAACTACTTCATTGGCTGTTGGCTCCATAACGAAGCCAAGAGTTGGCTCCTTATAGTGGAAAGATATTATGTGTTATTAAAAGAAAAAAAAAAGGTAGAGTTGAGCTTTGAATGAGCAGAAAATGAGGAGGAAAACTGATAAAAGCAATAAATAAGGCAAGTTGAGAAATTTTCTCTCCAACCACATGTCCAACCTTTACAACTTTACACTTGCTAGTTGTCCTTGGCCCCCTTATTAATATTCTAACATAAAATATCTGCCTTTTCGCAATAAAGACAAATTGTACTCCCAACTACTTTCATTTATTCATTAATAATCAACGCCTCACACTTTTTTTTTTCATTTCTTCTTTTCTAGTAAAGTTTTGACATTAATTGAGTCGTTCATGCATGAACTGGACACTATTCGTGTAGAAATGTTAGACGAACTGAGCCTCTAGTAATTTTGACCCGGGTTGACTCATTAAGGTTCGAGTTCGACTTGGCTCGTTTGGTAAATGAACTGGTTTTGGACTTGTTTAGTTAATGAGTCAAGTTTGTGTGGCTGCTTAAGGCTCGAAAATTTATAGTTTAACGTAATTTTCTAACTATTAGCTTAGCTCCTTTAGGTTTCAAGTTCAACTTGCTAAAGATCGAGTTCAGTTCTTTCATAATGATAAACAAGTCAAACTCGAACTCGTTTATCGATGCGACAAAAGCTCAAATATCCAGAGTTAAAACTTGGCTCAATTTGTTCAAATCTCTACTCTCACTCGACTTGTTTAAAGCTCTAACCTCAATCAATTTATTACTTTCTAAGACTATAAACTTAGATCTTGTCTTTATTTACCTATTTTATGATGTGAGATAGCCAAAACTGAATCAACTGAACTCAGCATGCAAATAAAAATAAATATTTTTTATATCATATATTTTTGTAATATTCTAAACTAGTTATAGATAAAGTCGTTTAGATTTGGATAACATTTTATTAGGCCCAGTTATTAGTCCACCTTTGCCTCCCCGGCCTGTAGTAACTGGGCTTGGAAAGAACTAATATTCAAGGTGGGCCGGGCCGCCTAACCCAAAATCTGGGTGTAATTGTAATCTAAGACATTACATAAAAATCCCTTTTCTAATGCATTTTTCCTAAACTGATTTTTTAGGTGTAGTTGACTTTTTACTGTCTACTATCATTATCAAAAGTTATGATGCATCTAATATCAAAAAATCAGATGCCCAAATCAAAGTTTTCAGGATTTTCTTTTAATATTTACCATTTGCTTGGTCAACGAAGAAATGCAAATTAAATGAAATAATAAACAATAAATTAAAATAAAATTAAAAGTATTAAGCGGCCATCTCGATACATAACACGGACAAGCATAAAATTAATACTCCTATTTCATTAGTATAAAAAAAAAAAAAACGATTAAATGTTGATGGGCCTCTTAAATGAGCTTTGAAGTTGGATATTTCCAACTGGGAATGGTCGGCACCCCACATCTGACCTTACTTTACACAATAAAAGCTCATTTTATTATAATTATGTTTCATTATAGGATTAAATTTCTTTTTGGGTTAATGAAGATGAAGTATAATGCACGAAACCTTTTTTCACTTAATTATTCTCAATTATCAACTTTTTTTTAAAAAAAAAATTTGAGATTGTATTCGTCATGATGATGTCCGTACCAAGTAATTAATTAGCAGTGCTCTTTGTTGATTTATGTACTAATTAATGGATATTAGGAGGAGGGTTTCATTAACTATATAAAGTACTATCATGCAGAGTGAACCAAACTATCATTTAATATTCACATGAAAACTTATATATTGTCTTCAAAATAATTCTGTTAAGAGTCTAATTTGAAATTTTTGGTTTCGTAAAGGGTATCTTGAATTCAAATTGGTGTGGTTGGTAGGCTACTGAATTCAGTTCAGAAAATTATAAATTACACTCATTAACTTGAAGTACACGTTGAATTTATTCAGTAATTTTTGCAATTTTAGACTTATAAAAATCAGGCAAACGTGCTTGAAAATGTAAAGCTATCTACTAACTAATTGAGAAAAATGGTAAATATACTCGTTTAACTCGTTAGATTGGATTGAATGTTGGCAAATATTAATTGATGGACATATTATACAACTGCATCAAATAATTGGACAAAATTATTATTTAAATTACTGGACACATTTGGTAATTTTTCTAAACATATTTTTATAAATAAGTTGATAACTATTGATAACCACTCAATAAATCGTGCCAAATTCTTAAATAAACTTAGAACAAAGGCTGGAATGACCCAGATGTAAATTTCGTTAATGTAAATGTAATCACCCTAATTGATTATTATTATTATTATTATTATTAATATTATTATTTTTGTCCACTTTGTTTATTAGAAAGATCTATAGAGACAATGAAGTAATTTTTTTAAAGCATTAGTTGGAGGTTTAAAGGGTTCTTTTAACCTAATCCCTTTCTCATTGCTTTTTGTCCACAACCCACACAAATATTACTATTTTTCAAGATTCATGTTAGGTATCCATCAAAATCCCTTTACAGTCGTTAAAAAAAAAAAAGAAAATTATTGTCTTATGTTATAATATACACTTGTGAGTTGTCCCACATCGTTTGTACAGGAAAAATAGGTCTAACTTATAAGCCTAGTAGACTACTCCTTTTACCATCAATTAATTTTGAGATGGAACCTCACTTGAACTTCATTTGGACTTCCCTAATTCGGTGCCCTTCGTTCGTGGGACTGCACCCGTCATTCCCATTTGTCATCTTACAAGGAATATTAATTCGGTTCATACTTTTACACACACGACATAGACAAAGTCACAATCCAAAAAGTAGTGGTTGATATCTTGGGAAATACCACATTTTAGCAAAAAATAATAAGATAAGGAAGTAGATAAGAGTGTGACGAAATAAGTTCAAGTCCTCTTAAATATAATCGAGAAAATATAGTCTCTGAAACACAATGTAATTAATTTGAAATGTTTAAATATATTTCTAATTTAAATAAAATACACATATAAATATATTGGATGTGTGTGAAATTATCAAAATATATAATGAAAAATAATAAATATAAAAAATATTACTTAAAATAATAATAATAATAATAAATTAAATAATAATTAAACCACTAATTCGACCATTGAATCATTAATTCAGTACTTCGGGATGTTCGATGATTGGTCCGGTTATTAGAACTTGCTAGTAGTATGTTATTTGCAATCAAAATTTGTTGGAAAAAACGATTCTTTTTAATTAAAATTATACAAGCTCGAATTTTATATTATTTGTTCTTTTAGTTATTGCCACCCCCACTAGATCATCTTGCACTTTACAACAAAGCGTGCAAAGCTTTTTAGATGCAATTATGAACCGACACTTTAATATAATGCTACTGCTCAACGATTAGGGCGTTTTTAATTAAGGTCCACCACAAGACAAATCAGAACAAACCAATACTTTTTTCATGATTTGGAATTTTATTAGAGCTCCATGCCTTGAATGTTCCCCTTCATTAGTATTTTAAACTTTTTATGAGGCTCGCATTGTAAATGGGCTTACAAATATAGCCACCAGGCCCGTCTCGAACAAATATGTTTATCATCATCGCTATACCCCGAAGCATTATAAAGTATCAAGCCCACACTATTTCAGTTGGGTCATAAGACAAAAAGCCCAAACCTTTTGTGTTGGGCCGTTAAGCCATACTAATTTGTCTAACAGCCCAAACACAAAAAACTAAAACCAGTTTATGTGCTCTTTTTGTTTCTGTTTTTCGTTTTAGCAATTTTCTGGTGAAAGAATGAGGTACACAAAATAATTACTACCAAGTCCAAACACGCCCTTTAAGCTTCATAGTTCACTTTGGTGAGCGCGTGTTCTTGTTTGGGAGGAGATAATGTTGATAACTGTGAGGCAAATTTCTTCTTCTCTTTGCTCCACCACATCTCTAACACACAGCTCCGTGTCGAATAAGCATTCTTTTTGTGCCAAGCCCAGCAAATATGCCCTCCACAAAAATTGCAAGAAACCCATTTGCAGGGCCACTTTCACCGTCTCCCCAAAGAGCACAAAGCGCAGCCACAAAGAGAGGTAAACCCATCGCACAAAATCCTAGCTTTGGATTATCTATCAAGTCTTTTTTTCAGGATTTTGAGGTGTCTTGTTTAGGAAACCAAGGTTTTTGTTTTTGCTTTTGTTTTGCTTTTAATATAACTGCGGCCATTTTTGTTGAGAGCTTTCAGTCTGTAAATTTCTGTGATTTTCTTTTAGATTTTTTTGGGCTCTTTTTGTGTAAGTGAGTGTTCATTTGTGCTAATTACCTGTCATGTTATTCTACATTATAAACTTAAATTCTGGAATTAGTCTGAGTAGCAAAAATTCTCTGTTGATCATGAAATGTATGGTTGTTTTAAATTATTTGGACTTCACTTACTGTTCCCCGTTAGTGAATAAATGGAAGATACTCTCAAAGGTCAGAGCATCACACTGCCCATTAGGCCAGAGCATCACACTGTATATTAGGCCGTTGTGCAGTTAATCAATAATGATTGTTAATTATATTTTAAGCTATTGGAGAACATATTTATGAGTTACTGTCATCAGATAATCACGAATAGATAATATACTTTAGAATTCATGTTTTCGATTTAATGTAGTAACTGCTTGATGTGTCCGAAAATCTTTCTTTGCATTCGTTATATCATATAATATTCTTCAAGAAAGACATAAGTCCTTTTTCTGAGACATTGTATAATGACTCCAAGTCAACGGTGAACTGAAACTTGTGTTCCTCCTAAAAGATTCTTTCTTGATGGGGGAGTGTTGCTGCATTGACTGTACTTGTTGATCCTTGCCAATGCATTTAGTTCGTCAGATCAAAGTTTATGGAAATTAATTAGTTCCCATTGGTTTTCCAGACTTGGATAAATAGAAATGTTGTTGCATATACCTATGCTCAATTCAAATCACCATCTGGGATGGGAAAAATGTAACGGGAAGCTGTTGATTGTAGTCACCTTACCGTGTACCAATGTTATTACTTTAAGTTCTGAAGCTTTGATTTGTTTTTTTCTGCTTTTAAATTAACAAAAAACTTCAAGTGTTCGGGTTGTTTACTGTCCTTTTTAAAGTTGCACCTCTTTGTATAGCTGTAACATGGCGACCTTTACATAATATTAACACAAATCTTTGTCATGATTGGAATTCTTTTCAGTCATGAGAGTTCTGTATTTGATCCACTGGGTATCTGTCCTGATGGATTATCGAATTTAACAACTGCATGGGAAAGTGCTCTCGAATACTTTTCGCCAACACTTAGGAGTTCCTCAGGCACCAGAAAAGAGAAATCTTCTTCCTCGCGAGGAGTGGCAGGTCTATATATCACCTTTCTTTCTTTCTTTTTCACATTAATTTCTTCAATAAATTTTTACCTTCTGCTCTTGGCCCTTCATTAGGATTGTTTGAAATTTTCCAGCTGCCATTGAAGATACCAGCATCGATATCGGGGATTTCTTCAAAGGCCCACTGCCCGGAAAATTTCTCAAGCTTTTGGGCTTTTTGGCCTTGTCACGACTCGGAATATACGTACCCCTAGGTGGTGTGAATCGGGAGGCTTTTGTTGGTAATCTTGATCAAAACAGCCTGTTGGGAACTCTGGATTCGTTTTCTGGTGGTGGTATTGGTCGGCTTGGAATAGGGTCTCTTGGTATTGTGCCATTTATCAATGCACAGATAGTTTTTCAGCTTCTGACTCAAATATACCCAAAGCTGCAAGAACTGCAAAAAAGAGAAGGCGAGGCTGGAAGAAAGAAAGTCCTGCAGTATACTCGTTATGCTTCGGTTGGATTTGCTGTAGTGCAGGTAAATAAGTTGGTGTTTGGCATTCATAATTCCATAAGTTGGTCTGAAATTGTCCATTGCAATTACTCTTTGATATTGACCAGCTGGAATTTGGAATTGATATTGACCACTGATATTAG